CTGCTACACCCAACTCTGGCCCCTAGACAAAGATTTTATTTCACTTTTTAAAAAAAGTCTTATTTGGGCCTGGTGCAATGGCTTAATTGGCAAATCCTCCACCTCCAAGCCACTGGAATCCCATATGGGCGCTGGTTCATGTCCCAGCTACTCTACTTCTTACCTAGCTCCCTGCCTGGGAAAGCAGTAGAGGATGGCCCATTTGGGGAGTGAAGCAGCGATGGAAGTGCTTTCTCTTTCTGTCTCTCCTCCTCTCAGAACATTTAATTTCTGAGCAAAAATAAAGAAGCTTTAGGCAATTACAACAGTGGGAGAAAAAACTTCATTGTTTGCAACTGTTGAGTTCATGGGTTGCTTGTCCAGCCACCCTGGAAAGTGAGGAAGAGAGAGAGAGAGAAAGAGAAAAGAAGAGTTTGGAGTAGGCAGTACTTGTGCCCAGTGCAGCTCCCTCCCCAGCCCTAGGCAAAGGGGCAGACCCAATCCCAGGAAAGAGCTCTGTGGTGGGTGGGTGGGCGTCAACAGGAAGGCGAGCCAGAAATCTAATCAGGCAGGGAGACCCGGAGTTGGCAGATCAAAGGCAGTCACCGGCTCATTACAAATGGATGCTGTGGTCCATGGGGATTAGTGCAGGGGATGTCAGGAGAAAAGGCAGGCTAAATGGGCGATTGGGATCATCCCAGAGGTGGAGATGCCTTCTGGTGGGAAGGGGGGCGATGACGGCAGGGGTATTTGCGCTGGGATTTCAGGTGGCAGGAAGAACAAGCTGGGAGAGGGGCGGATGCAGGCGAGGAGCAGGAGGGAGCAGGTCTCTCTCCCGAGAGTGGGCCGTGAGACCCTGGGGGAGCACCTCCATTGAGGGAAGAAGCAATTGTCCTCAGAATGCGGGGATCCAGCGAGGCCATGAGAAGGAGGGAGGAAAGCTTCTAGGCTTTAAATGCGGAGAGTCTTGCAGGAGTTAATGTTCTGATGTTCAGAATGGAGGGACCCTACAGGGAACACTCAACTCTGGAGGAGGCTCCCCAGCTCTTGGGTGCTGAGAGGTAGCCCCTGTGCCAACCTGTCTTTCTCCCCCTGCAGATCTACCCCACCCCCACCAGCTCCGAGGCTGCCCCTGCCATTGATGTGGGACTATGTAGGCATGGCGTGCGTGCCACCTCCTGATGTGGTTCCAGAATACACAGCTCAGCTCAAGCTGCTGATGGACTCTGCCATGGGACTTGTGTTTGGCCTTCCTTGTGATGCCACTGTTTGACCAGCTGCACCCGGCCGCCCTGGCCGGAGTGGATCTTGATCTTACCGGCTGGAGCAAGGTAAACAAGGCTACGCAGGACAGACACAGTCACCTGGGCATGTTCCGTCCATAGGACTGTGTGTGGTGGGACAAGCTGAAAAAGATGGAAGACCTTCAACCCAGGAAGCAGTGGCTGTGGCTTTATATGACAAATGGTGGGATTTGGTTAGGGATAGGGAGCTGAGTGGATTGTCCTGGATTATTTAGGTGGGTTATTTATGCAAGAGAGTTAGAGACTTTTCACACACATGCACACGAGAACCACATGGCCAAGAGAAGAGATGAGAGAGACCCACACATGCTAAGCAACGTTGGGGTCCCTAGAAGCTGGTCCAGGGGAGAAGTCTGTCCCAGGTCCTCCAGGGCGAGGTCACTCCTACTGCAGTCAGCTTGACTTTAGACAAGTGATTTCGAAATAAAATGAAATTTTATCGATCTGAAAGGCAGAGTGACACAGAGCGTGGGGCCGCTGCTAGCTACATGGGAGACTGGGTGGAGTGCCAGGCTCCTGGCTTCAGTCTGGTCCAGACCCAGCTGTTTGTGTGGCCAATCTGTAAAGCCTATTGGTTGAGAACAAACAGGGGCTGGCACTGTGGTGCAGGGGGTCAGCAGCCATTGCCTGCAACACTGTCATCCCAAATGGGATTGCTAGTTTGGGACTGTGGCTGCTCTGCTTCTGATCTAACTCCCTGCTAAAGGGCAGGGGATGATGGTCCAAGTGCTTGGCTTCCTGCCACCCATGTGTTGGAGATGCAGGCTCCAGGCTTCATCCTGGACCAACTGTGGCTGTTGTGACCTTTTGGGGAATGAACCAGCGATGTTTTTCTCCCCTCTGTCACTCTGTCACTCTGTCACTCTGCCTTTTCTTTTCTCTTTTTCTTTTTTTTTTTTTTTAACTCAAGCACACCAAAGGTTTTGGGTGCTATTTGTTACTGCAGTGTAATTTAGCGCATCCTTGTTGACAGCTTCCAGAACTCTCTGTGTGTTAGAAAAAGGAAGTATTGGTGCAAGGAAGCAAGCAGGAGATAGAACTGAAGGCGATGGTGTGGAGCCTCAACAGTCCTACCTTCACAGCCTGGATAACCAAAAAGTGGCTGGGCCCGGGGACTCGTTTTTGATGATGGAACACAATGGCAAAGCTGGGTGCAGCCCCAGCATCTATCCCTGAATGGGGTCTGCTTGGGGTTGGCATCTTTCCCAACTTCTGGCTTCGTGGACCACCTGACCCTCCATACACATCCCTATCGCACCATCCTATGGATGCACCTAATGGTGCCATGGCCTTTCAACAGAGGACACACGGCTGCTGAAGTCCCAAAGTACCATGAGTGGACGCTTGGGGAACTGTGACAGCATGGCTAGGAGACAGGGCTCTCTGTGGGACTTTCCAGTGACACTCATCAGGGCCCCTGATGCACCTGCAACATGCGCTGGGGGAAAAGATGAAACTGAAGCAAGTGTAAGGGAAGGAATAGGGTTGTGGGACTGAGTGAGAAAAGGGAAGAGAAAACGAAGCCTGTGGTAGTGAGGCATGTGACCCATAGAGCCCTGGCCGGGATTGGGGGTGAGCCCTGGGACTCTGCAATCTGGGCTGGCTGCCCTAGCCTCTGGCTGCACTCAACAGCCAGTACATATTGCACTGTGGGGACCTGGGACTGTGGTTCACCAGCATTGTCTGCAAGTGGCCTTCTAGAGGGCAAGTTCAGGGTCAAGGCGGTCACAAACACAGGGCCTGGGAGGCACTTCTTCCTGCCTGGTCACTTGTTATCCAGTCCTCTGTCGTTCAGGTTTTAACCAGCCTGGGGACTTGGTCGCAGACACCCACCAGCTTAACCATAGAACTGGCTGATTCCTTCTTCGGCTGTTCGCCGGTGTGTGCTGGAATGCCAGTGACACAAATACACGGTAGGACCTTTGGTCTCCAAGGACAAAGACACAGAATCCTCAGCACTTGCTTGCCTCTTTCTGCTTCCTCTGGTTTGTGGGACACAGCCCTTGCCTCTCTACCTTTCTTGAAATAGGAGGGTTTGTGAATGCCAAGGTCACACATACAAATCCATCCATGAATGTTTCACACTCGCTAACAAATGAACTACATTCCTCCTCCTCCCTAGAATGGATCTGTTTGGGCACCTCTTTTTGATGCTGCCACATTAGCATAAAAATCCCTTGTGGAGCCTGAAGGCCAAGTGTCCCTTCCTACATGAGGGAGCAGGGACAGTTCCATGGGCAAGGAGGGCAAGGACCTCTTCCTGGGCTGTAGATGCCTCAGTCCACACATTTCCCTCTTTTTTCTTTTTTTTTTTTTTTCCTGGAGGTTCCAGGCATGAGCTGTTCTTTGGCAGGTGTGTGGCCAGGGGAGCATCAAGCTGCCATGGCCTTCGCTTTTTCCGTGGACATGAACTTTGTGGCTCATTTCTGTGTCTTTGATATACAAGAGTCCTCCCTCAGCTGTTGCTAAGAAGAGTAAACTTGACGTTTCAGAATCGAAGTTGAAATGCAAGGGTGCTGCTGATTCAGGTGCCGTGGATGCCTCGTCTGTGGCTTTGTCTCCACCTGATCCGGACTCTGCTGGCTTGGAAAATCCCAAGGTGGGTAAGGCGTTGACTTGGCTTAAAGGGTAAGAAGTCAGGCATCGCGGGTTTGCATGATGTTAATGACCTTGGGCCAGGGACTGGCTGATCTCCAGTTGGGCCTGCAGGGAGACCTGGCCTTTCTTGAGGATAAGCTGGGGCCCCAAGTGACACTCTGCTTTAGACCTTGAGTCCTGGTCTCCAGCCCCTCACGAGCTGTCCTAAGGATTGCAGTAAAAACCTTGAGATGGTGTGCATGCCCCAGGCACTGATGCCGCTCAGGCAGGGTTCAGGGCTAAGAAGGTTCCACAAACTCAGCCCTTCTGATTCTCCTTCAGCTCCTCGGCCTTCCTCCATGCACATGCTTTGGCACTCTTCACAAGATAGCAGCGAGGGACATCCCTGCCCAGAGAGGCTTGATGGAGGTCATCCTCGGTGGAGGGAGGCTCCTCCTGCCACCAAGCGTTCCCAACAGGGAAATAAATGCAGGGCAGCACAGAGTCCCGGTGAGGGCAGACACCACAACTCGGGGCTTATTTGGACTAGGCTAACTGGAACACACCTGAGCAAAGCTGAGTCCTCAGCAAGGTGTGAGGAGCAGCCAGGGAGTCTGTGAGGTGGGGTCAAGGAGGAGCGCCAGGTGGGGCTGGTGCACTGAGAAGAACCTGACTTGACCTGGTCTCTGTGCGGCACACCTTGGGGTCTTGTGAGCAGGAGGGGAGCGAGTCCCCAGGAACAGTCCCTGAAGACCACCAGCAGGAGCAAGGCTAATGCTCGCTGATTCTCAGCAGGATAAGCAGGTGCAAGGGAGAGAAGTTCACGGTCCTTCGCTTACTCTTCTGTATAAACCAGTGTCAAAAACCCAAGGTGTTCAGTGACATGACCTTGAAGCATGAAATATCCATGTGTCTGAGCAAATAGCTAAACGATGTATGCAAAATGGCTCCACGTCATTTATGATGAGGGAGATGCAAATGAAAACCGGACCTCAGGCTTGTCAGCATGGCCATGCCTGTGTAGTGCTGTGAATGCCAACCAGTGCAGCGATAAACCTGGAAACAGATCATGTGATTTGATGACCATCCCTCTGGGTAACTTATTCCAAAGACTTCACCGTCAGTTTATCAAAGAGGCACCTGCTCTCGTGCGTTCATTGTCACAGTACTCATGATCGCTAAGGTATGGAACCAGCTCATCCACTGGTGACCCAAGAGAGAAGACACGGTTTGAACACCATCATGGTATACTACCCAGTATTGAAAAAAAAAAAAAAACAAAACAGATGCAGCAAGAACAAGAAGGCTAAGTTAAATACGGAGGCTGATGATGGGCAGTGTGTGTGGTTAAAGCTTCACTTAGACAGAGATTATGCTTCAAGACAGTCTGTCTATGCAGAGCACACCACACTGAAGGCCACTGACAGTGAATATCAGACGCCGCAGCCACAACATGAAGACAAGTGTTTGAAGTAACTGCTATGTCAACTGGCTTTATTCAGTTACGAATCACATTTGTGTATCACAGCATTGCGTAGGAACCCGTAAATAGATACAACTGTCATTTTCTGCTTCACAATTTATCTTTTAATTAAAAAAATAGAAATTGAGAAAAAAACAACAAAAACTACCCACAGGCTGTGTGTCCCCTGGCCAGGTCAGGAAGGTGCTAAGAGTCCCGGAAGTGTGTGGATTCAGCACAGAATAAACAGGGCTGGCTCAGGGAAGTGCTGTTCTGACCCCGTTTTATTGGGAAACTTGAACCGACATATCTTACAGATCTGAATGTTGGTGTTGAACATTCCAGCGATGGGTTCCCTCAGGGCAAAGAGCCACCTGGACGCAGCCCAGAGGGAGTATCTGGGAGAAGTCGAAGCAGGGATCAGGAGACCCTGCCAGTGGTCTGGACCTGTGTGAGAACGGGGGTAGTGCAGTGACTTTAAATTCCAAGGTGGATGAAAAAAGAAAATCTGAACATTGCCGTGGATCCCTTGGATCTGTGCCGCTGTAGTCTGTCCACGCGTAATACAGAGGCTGCTTCAATCCCTGGACAAACTGCCCCCCACCCGCCCCGGGCCGCAGGCACTGCCTGAGAGTCACTTGAGCCTCCTGCCAAGTTTCAAGTAAGTCCCCCAGGCTCAGGGGGCTCTGGGAGAGGAGAGGGAAGGGTGGAGGGCCTCCAGGTGACAGTGATGGGCTCTGGAAACCCTAAGTTGCACTTGGCCCCTCGGTACTGAAGTCTCCCTGAAGGGGAGCCCAGCTCCTCCAGCTCCTGGGCTCTTACAGCGGGCCAGGCAGGCGGCTAGTGACTTCTGCACTGGGCCGATCAGCAGTGCGGAGCTGATCACCCGTGGTGGGCAAGAATCACAGGAACCATCGTGGGCAATCAGAGCCACAAACCGCCTTCCATTCCTGCAGTTCCTGAAATGCTGGGGCCAGGGGCTGGCACTTGCACTGGCAAGGCACTGGGCAACCGTTTGGAACATTCCCTCCCAGGGGTGTGTCCCGTCTGTAGGTGGGGATATGCGTGGAGTAGAGAAAGCTACTCCACAGTCACGGTGGCTGGGGGGGGGGTTGCTCTTCTTGGGAGGACCTGGGCGGGAGGGGGTGTGTTGGGGATGCAGGGCTCCTTATCTTGTCTGCACCCTGTCACCCCACTGGCAAGTTGGGGGTGCGTGTGAAAATCTCTCTGTGGATATGTATGCCTGTGTCTCCATGCACGTGTGTGTGTGCAGGAGACAGGAAAGGAAGAGGCACGCGTGTACATTCTTGTGAAGAAGAGCAAGAAAAAAAAATGGGCGTGTGTTGATGGTAACAGATGTATACCCGCGGGCAGCTTGTATTTGGGCATTTCCGGCATTGCCATGGGGGGGAAAAAAGCTTGTCAAGTGATTGCCGAGCACCAATTTTACCAGCCGTTTTTCTTGTCCTGTGGCTCCAAGGACATCAAACTACTCCCGCCTCACAGCAAAATGGGAAAGGGATTGTGCGTCTTGGCGGCGCTGCTCTGTTTCGGCCTCCCAGTCCACCCGCCCATGCGCCCTCAGCTCGGGAGCTCGCCCGTGCCTGTGGTCCCTGCTGTGCCCTCCGAGGCCGCGGGCTGCCGCCGCTTGCACGTGAGCACCAGCAGCAGGAGCAGCGGCAGGTGCCACAGGCTGCAGAAGAAGAGCTTCCGTGAGCTCTTCCGGTCCGCGTCCACGTAGAAGCGGAAGCCGAGGTAGGAGATGTAGAGGTTGATGGGCAGGGAGATGACGGGGAAGGTCCAAGTGGTGACGTCCAGCACCGGGGCCGCGGTGGAGAGTGCGATGAGGGCGAGGCAGTGGCGCAGCGCCACGCGCCGGCACAGCCCCGGGTGGGTGACGGACATCATGCAGTAGCCGCCCCGCGAGTAGTCTTCGCGGAGGCCCCAGCTCAGGGCGTTGAAATGTGGAAACTGCCAGGAGTAGAGGATCCCTCCCAGGAGAAAGGCTCCTGTGTGGTGCAGGGGAGAAGAGGACAGAAAGCGGGGTCAGTGTGGGTGTCCACAGCAAGCTTCCTCTTGTCCAGCATCTGCCTGGCTCTGCGCGCCCGTGCTCACCTCTCAGGCCCTCTGCCACTCGCTGGTGGCGGTCTCTGCTCACCCAGATGGGCCTGGAATGGCAGTGATGGGCAGGGTGCGGTGGGGAGAGGTGGCTGTGCTAAAATTCCGCCTACCTTCTCTCTTGGGAAAAGGTGTGCATGTCAGGGGGGATTCGGGGGAAGAGCCTGCCTCCTGGGGGAGGGTTGTGCACCTGTGCCGGAGCACAACAGGCCCCACCCACTTGGGAAGGCTTCTTGGAAATTGAGCACAGCAGCACAGGGCTGCCGGTGGGCGGGGCTTCCCTGCTAGAACTTTCGGCTCAGTTACCACTCCCCTTCCCCAATCTTCAGGGACTATTCTGTGAGCTTCCATTGCCTTCCCAGCGCAGTCAGTGGCTCTCTGGCAGCCCTGCCCCAGGCCTGAGCACACCTCCAGGGTCCTGCTGCTATCCCTGGCCTTTTCCATTGTTCCTGCTCCACCACCAGGGGCTCCAGGGCAGGTGCCTGGCACCTTTACGCAGGATCCCTTGAGTGACAGAGTCAGGGGGTGAAACAAGAGGAAAGAGTTAAGTACACAGAGTGAACCACAGGCAGCCAGGCTTTGGCATAAGGAAACTCTGAACTGGAGAGCAAAGGTGACTTGTGCGTAGCTCTGCGATTTTCTCCCAACAAGGACATGAAGCCAAGAACATGATTCGGTTCCTTTCGCTAAGGGAATCCTTGCCCCACCTGTCACACTATGCGAATGAAGGCTGCCATTACTGAACACCTGCTATGGGACATTCTTTCTTCCCTTTTGTGTAAGATTGACTTATTTATTTGGAAATCAGAGAGTTAAAGACAGAAAGCTCATCCATCTGCTGGTCTACTCCCCATGTGGTCGCAACAGCCAGGGCTGAGCCAGGCAGGCAGAAGAAGTCAGAACCTGGAATTGTATCTGGGTCTCCCATGTGGGTGTCAGGGCAAGGAGGTGAGCTGGAAGCCAGAGCCCTGGCTGGGAACAGAGGGGGCAATCAGGGTAGACAGTGAGAGGGTGAGGCTTGTCCAGTGGGCACAGGGGCCTCCTCTGTGGGTGTGTGGGATGTCTGGCCCCAGCTTGAGGGACAGGAGAATGCTGGTAGAGAGAAACCAGGGGTTAGGAAGGTGCAAGGTCTTCTCCAGGTGATAAGGTATCCATGTCAGTTTCACTCTGGTAATTAAAAAGAAGACAGGAAGACTAGTGTGGCCAAAGGGCTGGGAACCACGGGGGACCGAGGGACTCAGGGACAAGGCTGGAGAGGGGAAAGGGCCAAGGTTGAGTTCTCTGCGAATAGCCACAGAACAGATTTTGTGTGGAGAGTGTGCACCTGTGTGTGTGAGTGTACCTGGGGCCTGTGCTAGTGCATTTTGGGTCAGGGAGGATGCGCTGTGAGAGAAAGAGACCCAAGAGGTTGATGGGAGGGACCGATGATGATGGAGACGGAGAGAGGAGGAACATGGCCGGGACTCAGGAGGTAAAAGGTTCCAGTGCAGAATAAAGAAGACAGGGCTGAGAGCCCAAGGGCCCCAGATGCAAGAGGGGTCTAACCCCCAGGGCGTGGGTGCGCCTGGGGGCTGGGGACACACTGGCTCCTGAGAAAATCCCGAATAGTGATGGTGATGCTGGTGGTGGGAGGTCCTTGCACATCACCGGCAACCAGGCTCTAGAAAACACACAGGAACAGTATGGCCAGGAGGGCCTCAAACTCAGCAAGCGCTGAGCTCCGGGAAACCATGCCCAGGGCACAGAATCCCAGCTCGGCCCAGTGGCAGTGCCAGCCACAGGAGTCACAGTGAATGTGCTGGATCCGTTTACCAGGGAAACTCATGACAGTGTCTTGTGTGCCAGGCGTGGTGCTGCAGGCCGCAAAGACCAAGCAAGGTACACAACAAGAGGTCCTGCTCAAAGGATGCTGGGAGAGACCTCCCAGGATCATTGCTAGTGGTGGCGCCAGCCAAGGAATCAAGACGGGGTGAGAGCTGAGAACACTCGGGGAAGGCCTCCCAGAGCTGGCCATCAGGCCCAGCACACTTCAAGGGTAACAGCACCACGGGCTGGAGCCAGGGAGTGGCATCTGGAAACCAGTAGACAGCAGGATGGCGCTGATGGGCGGGGGCCGCAAGGGACACGGTGCCAGTCCTTGGGGAGGGTGGTGCACACAATGGAGACAAAAAGAGCTCCGGTTCCGGCTCTGTGAGGTCTGAGGGCCTTTGCAACATGCCGGGTAAAACACCCTGTGGCAGGGGAATGGCGAGGGCACTGCACAACGTTTATGGAAAAGGGCGTATTACGGAACCAAAATACACGGATTTCAAAATGTTCTTGCAGTAAAATAAACTCATCCCTGGGGCGGGGTGGCGGGGGGGAGAGGGATGACGGGTTAAGCCGCTGCTGTGAAGTCAGCGTTTTATATGGCAGCAGTTTCTGCTTCTGACCAGGTCCCTAAAGCAGTAGGCAGTGGGCCAAGTCCTCAGGCCCCCTGACACCTGGGGGATGACCCAGACAGAGTTCCAGGCTCCTGGCTTCTGTCTGGTCTGGCCTGAACTTTTGTGGCTATTCAGAGAGTGAATGAGAAGATGAAAGATCTTTCTTTCCCCTCTCCCCTGCCACCACTTTACCTTTCAAATGAAAATATTATCTTCTAATTGATTGTTACATGAACTTAAAAAAAGAATTTTTTCTCTTTCTCTGAAAGGCAGAGAGCTCCCACCTGCTGGCTTACTCCCCAGATGCCTGCAGGAGCTGGGGCTGGGTCCCACGGAAGGCAGGAACCAAGAGCTTAGGTGAGCTGCCGAGACTCAGCCAGCTGAGCCATTACTTCTCCATTCCAAGGCAGATGCTCCTGGCAGAAGGGCTGGGCTGCGCACCCACACGCTCTGACATGGGGTGTGGGGATCCCCGATGGCACCTTGGCCACCGTGCCCAATGCCCACCCTGGGCACAGGAATTTTTATGAGGTTCCCTCGTAGGGTAGACAGATGTTTCCTAATGCTCACAGCAACCCTGTCTACAGCGGTCGGCACCACCTCACATTAACTCATGGAGGAGACTCAGCGTGGTTGCTGCCAAGCTGGGAGCACGCCCACCCCAACAACCTGCTGCGTGGGAGTTCAAGTGCTGCGGGAGTGGGCACGAGCAGGTGGGTCAGCAGGGAAGAGGGCAGGGGCACTTTCTTCTTCTCCTCTTCCCTCCCCTCCCTTTTCCATTTTTTTTTTTTAAAGATTTAGTTATTTTTATTGGAAAGGCAGACTTACAGAGAGCTGATCTGAAGCTAGGAGCCTTCTCTGGGCCTCCCACATGGGCACAGGGTCCCAAGGCTTTGGGCCATCCTTTGTTGCTTTCCCAGGCCACAGGCAGGGATCTGGGTGGGAAATGGAGCAGCTGGGACTTGAACAGGAACCCGTATAGGGATGCAGGCACTTGCAGGTGGAGGATTAGGCCGCTGAGCTATTGTGCCTGTCCCAGAAGCATTTTCTAGTTCATCAAGAGCCCTGGCACGGTACATATGCTATTTACACACATAGTTACATATGTATGAAATATGGTTCTACTACAGATAACATTTTTCCTGACAAGGCGCATTCCTGGGGAACCAGGACAAAGGGCAGTAGGACCATCCAGGCTCTGTGGGAGGTGGGCTTCTCTCTGTATTGATATGGAAAGATAAGATGCTCTCTGGCTTTCCCTGGTGAAGGGGAGGGGAGCTTGGTCCATGCCTAAGAGGGACAGGCTGCCTCTCTGGAAGAGGAAAGCCAGCAGACTTGGGGTCACATCAAAGCTTGGGCTTGATGGCTGGTGCATAGCAAATCACCCCTACCTCCCCCACACAGCCCTGCTCCGGCTACCTCTCCCCAGTGCTGCTTCCTTCACGGGCCTCACCTGCCAGCCACCCGGATCTGTGCTCCTGGACTTAGTGGTCTCATGCCCCCAAACTGTCGGCCAGCCAGCCAGCTGTGGCAGCAGACAGGGAGGGGCGCTGAGCCGCTGGGCGAGTGCACAGGCACTATTCTCCATTCTCCACGGCCTCTGCCAGGGAGAAAGGCCGTGCGAAAGACAGGCATCACAGCCCAGGGTGCCCTCAGGGGCAGGGCTGGTGGGGGTGGCAGCTCATTCACCTTCCGGGGGAGAAGGGAAGGCTTCCTGGAAGAAGGCAACTGTAACCGAGTGGGGCTGTGGCTGCTGCATTTAATCCGTCCTTCTGTTCAATGAATCCTCTCATTTTCCTATCGAATCCTTCAGAATCCTTGCACACATCCCGCTTAATGAGATGTGGAAGAAATATATATATATATATGTATATAAATAACCACTCCCTATTTTATGCTTCCTTCCATTTATTCCAAAGATGGAGAAATAGGAGGCAGGGATCTTGCATCTGCGGGCTCATTCCCTGAACACTGATGGCAACTGGTGCTGGGCCAGAGAGACGCCGGGCACCTCAACCTCGGTCTGCGTCACGCAGGAGGGTGGCGCACATCCAGGTAGGTGAGCTGCCACCTGCTGCCTCCTAGGGTGCACAATGGCAGGGAGCTGGAATCAAGCAAAGTTGGGGCTGGGTACTACAGTGCTCTGAGCAACGCCTTATGTTATACCACAAACTTGCTTTCTACTTCCTCTTTTTTTGTGTTTTTTTTTTTTTTTTAAGATTTACTTATTTATTTGAAAGTAGAGAGAGAGAGAGAGAGAGAGATAGAGACCTCTGTCTACTGGTTCAATCCCCAAATGGCTGCAATGGCCAGGGCTGGCAAGGGTCCCAATACTCAGACCAGCTTCTCGTGTATCCTCAAACCCAGCAGCAGGACGCTGGGGCACAAGTGGAGCATCCGGGACTCGATCCAGCTCTCACAAGGGCTGCTGGTGTCCCCGGGAGCTGTTTGACTCTAGAAGCCACAAC